ATTTAGTATAAAAGTAAAAAAAATATTTTCGCAAGAAGTAAGCCCGTAATAGAATGTGTTACGTATTTGCAGTTCATGAGTCATGTTTACCCAGACCTAAAAAATGAAATGACGCACCTGGAACCTCTATAATATTTTTATTGAAAACATACCTTTGGTATTTACTTTTTGTGATACACAAAACGCTATTTTCATATGCATAGATAAAGAAAAGTCACATAAAAAGTATGGAAAATATTCCGTAACAGCATAATGACTTCTTTGGCTCACAGTACATGTCCAGCTTACATGGCTGAATCGTTTGTTTAACATTCAATCAGTTAATGGGTAACACAAGTCCCTGTTTTTAAATCAAGTGGAAATCTATCGTCGATAGATGCCTGATCTAGAGAAAGCTGTTGCTTCGAAGACGGTAGCAATTCTACTGGGCCCGTCGTCAGACCGAAGAGTAGACCTCGTCCACCCAGGTTTGCGCCTAGTCGTTTGTACCATGATATATTAAACAACAAAACTTACGATACGTTCCACCATGTCATTTTGCTCGAGGTACCTTATTAAGCAGAAATTACCGAGCCGAGTGGTCGGGCCAACCTAATCTCTACGCCACAATGGGATCTATGAGGATGCTTTGAGCCCCATCTTTCGAAAGATTTTGTCATAAACCGCACCGTGTATCGGTCCCATTGGATAACGTCACTGTATTGTTTGTCACGTTCAATTCTCGAAATGTACACCTCCACACGTGGTAACAAATGGTATAAAATATTACGGCGAACGCCACGTACTTCCTTCAGCCTGTTAGGCTTTTTGTGCCATACCATCGAATACACGTTTAGCCACCAGATGATTGAAACTGAATTATCTAAAAACGCTGCTGACCATTTTCTCTTTCTAATGGTAATTTATAAGAAAGGTAACCTTGAAATATGAAGACATTGGTCCTATCCTCGTGGATTCAACCAAATCGTAACTGTTCACGATAGATATAATAATTTTTTAGTTTTATTTGACAATCGTATCGCTATAGTAGATGGCTTGCTTCTACGGCTCCAGAAAAACGAGCAAAGGAAGCTCAACCTATTGTAATTCGTCTAGATAATTATCTAAAGCACTCAAACGTCTATAGTCCTCCCATTTAGTTAATTAACTGATAATTAGCTGTAAATAGGTGAAATTACGTAATCGGGGCTTTTTTTACTCGAGTGGAGTTTAGTATGGGCACGATTTGATACAGGTACGACGGCACTACCAATAGTTCCCTTGAGTTTAACGCGAATCGTGTTGCAGCTGCACAGAGAAACGGCGCTTAAAAAATACATTGGTTTGAACAGGGTAAGTTCCCGTTGCGCAGACTATGTCGCAATTCAACCCGCGTGAGCGTAGGCGTCGTTGTAAACTATGCATTGTCATCGAATCTGCGATGCGCCAGCGTCTGGTAAGTAGCAAAGCTGAACGTAAAACGTGGACACGCTTAGAATCAGAATATCAGGGAAAACTGAACATAATATCTGGAAGATCCCGGCCAAATATTTCGATCGAATAAATCCCCACTATGGAGAATAGTCGTACAGAATCAATAGACAGAAGACAGCTTGGACAAGTAACGGAATCGAAAGTAGTACACGATTATTTTGCACTAATTTGTAAGCAACTGCCTGGTAACTGTATTGTTTGTACTTAATCATTGTTTGGCAAAACAAAGAGAAAGACTTGGGCTAAATAAAAACCCTTTTCTTACCCTCTAGTTGACTACAAAACAATTCATATTCTCATAGTAAGATTTTACTGTTACAAGCTTGATGTCTATTCTGACGAAAACGAATACTATCGCGAAAATAGAAACCTTTGTGGGCGCTGAAATTTCCTCGACTTATAGGACAGTGGTCCTGAAGTTTGGTGCGAGTAGACCCTGCATTGAAGCCCAGCCAACCTTGCGCATCATATAGAATAGCTAGATAACGGTATATAAACAGCTAAACGCTGAAATTAACCGATAATGATTAAGAAATATGTGAAAAAAGGGCGGTCTGATCTGGGTAATGAAGCTCTCTTTTAACAACGTTTTCAAAAAGTATGTTTAGTCCTTGGTGGTTTAAAGCTTAGAGAGGCCGCAGTATTACTATGTCGTTTCATAGGCCTATTAAAAAAAACCCGACAAAGGTCAAACAGAATAGTCATCATGTAAACCGTTATCAACTATTGTCACCTATACCCTGAGTACACTAGTGCTAAGCTCTACGCCCACCTCGTGGATATTCAAATAAATAATTAATTAGAAAAACAAATAATAGGACTAACCTCAATCTATTATCTTATGGTGCTTAATCTCGAAAGCAATTGTTTACCTTAAAGATGATAAGGCTCGTTATAGGAATACTTTTACGCTTAGAAGGCTACATACATGTTATGTATGGAAAAAAAATTCATTGTTCGCACAATTTTACATTAAATTATGTGTTTCTCTTAAAGTAGGATCGAACGTATCACCCCAATCACAGAGATTCATCGATTATGCCCTATTCATTCCTTCAAGGAATATGTAATTATCGATAGAAAGCTTAGCGTGTGTGATCGATATTTGAAACGGTTCAATCACTACACGTTTACGTTCTAAAATACGTGTATACGCTAACCATTTTTAGCTTGATGCTAGTTAAGGGCAAAATGTGCAAAGCGTTTTCACAGTTATTGATAGAAAATGATAGATTAAACGCTTCATTTAGCCACCAGAACGAACCTTACATATGCACATATACTGATTCTTGAGTATACACACACACATATATAAAAGCCTGTATTTAAATTCTGACAGAACCCCTATTCGTCACAACTTAAAATGACGAGCCAAGCACCGAGTAGGAACTAATTTTAAGTTAGGTTACACTCAATCAGTTAGCTCAGTTTCTTAGGAATCGACCAATTAATGGTTAGCAAAGCAAATTAATTGAAAAATAACCACTTGAGTTTGTTCCTATTTCAACATGTCAACGGAACAGTATCCATAAATACTCCTTTAGAAAATATACATCTATAACGCTTGCTCCTTTTCTGTTGAAGAGAAGATAAATATGTTCCATTCTAACTTCATTCAGTGACGTGAATGACTCTGACGTTAATAAACGTTTTTATTCCTGAAAAAATAACATATTAAGGGTTCAAGCTGGTCTTCATAAATTTATATCCATACATACCTGTACGCCTACTTATCTCTTCGATGACTCTACAATCATTTCGGGTCATTTCCCTAGCGTTTAAAGGGCAAATCGGCTCACATAAGTAGTTCACACATATAACTTTTTCATTAATGCTACAACAACTTCGTCTTAAATACTTCTGTTCTTTAATCAGCAACGGTTAACTTCCTCAGCCACTTCCTAGCCCATGAAATGGGCGATTTTAGTTTAGAAGAAAAGTGGTTTTGAAGAGACGACTAGCAAATATTCATCTGTGTGAAATGTCATCATTATTCCAGTGTTGTTACCCCGTCCCACATTAACGAACATTCCCCCAGGAACATAAACCCACTTAATCTTATACGGTAAGTGGACCGCTACAAGCTTCTTTGAAATTAGATACACGAAATAACTATAATTGAAATTCCAAAAAATAAAACTACTACTCCTCTTAACGTTTTAGGAATAGATTGTAAAATATAATAAATATAATAAGGAGCGTTGCCAACCTGAAACTTTTATAAAACATTGACTTGTTTGCAGAAATTGCTTGAACAGTATTCTTCCGCTCAAGGTTTTAAGAGAGCTATCCCGTTCACATGGGTGAACATCGCGCCTAAGTGCAGGCCGAAATATTTGGAGGTGACAAAAAACAGGAAAAACGTCGACTCACTAAACTCTCAGGCATTGGGGTAAACTCATTTCGTTTAATATATGTCAATAGATTGAAACTACTGAGGTGTCACTTCAGCACCTGATTTAAATCTGACCCTTAGCTCACCGAACTATCCGTGTTACAAAATATCTCGTCTACGTATAACTTTCAACGTGAACATTTATTGAATCGTTATTATTATCATCATCATTGCCGTCATATATATATATATATACTCATTATAATTATATTAATTAATATATTGCTTGTATACGATATCACAAAATCACATTCATCATTGCTAAGCTCGGTCAGTTGCTGTTTGTCTTCTTCGCTCCTAAACCCGATGACATTCTAACTATATATATTTATATATATATATATATAACTCTTCCTTTCATAAATTTTCTCATTCTGTTTATTTCATTGTTTTTTTATCATAGCAGTGTTTCTGCTAGCGGTACAAAGCAGCCTTGGCCAGCGGGATGCGCGCAGAACGTCAGATTCGCGCATTGAATAGTCTGCATTTGAATGAACCCGCGCATTCCTTAGAAGTTCACAATTTTTTATTATTACTCGTCCTGCAATAATTTTTTTCTTGTAATTCTACATCAAGTCGGTGCGCTTCGTTACATTATTTATTTGCAACATAAGTTTTCGCCTTCACTCGCAGCGAAGTCGAGGGACTATGTATCCCTGTCTTCGAGCGTTCTTCATTATACTCTCACCATATATCACTATCATTATCAATATACGAATTATATTATTCTTATTATCACTTGATGCACTGCTGTTGTGCTTGCGTTCGCGTGTCGTTCTTGCGTTTGTCCTTATGTGTGTCATAATTTATAACATATTGCTGCCGCCTGTTTGGCTCGCTTTCTTTATTGGTATTACTATTATCATCGCCGCCATATGTATATATATTATTGCATCTCTCCGAACGCATCGTTGCACGCATCTACTAATTATGTTATTGAGTGAGTGGGATGTTGGGAAAACAAATCAGGTTCTGGAAAGGATTTTGGGGCGGTCATATTTCGAGTTATGGGCAGCGAATCAAAAAAGTGTGACCAGTGACCCATACCGCACTTGAGGAAGAGGTACATATTTTGCATTATTTTCGCGCCCTCAGAGTTATCTAACGTTTTCAAGTCACTAAACGTATTATCTTTTTTTTTTTTTCTAAACCTATTATGTATGCTTGTCAAGTTACTGGCAGGTTAACAGGGTTCACTTATACGCTTGTTCGTTAGGGGACAGTACGCTCAATGGACATTACGAAAACTGGAAGGTGATGATGTCTGCTGGCGTGCTCCACTGGTGATAGTCGTTGATCAGGCGCGAGTTGATGGGATGTTTGATGGATTTTTATGTGTCTTTGATGGAGGATTAGAGAGTAAGAAGTGAAGGAAAATGGTATCAACTGATGGCGCGTGATGATACACATTAATGTTTGATGAGTACGTGATGAATATATGTTTTAAGTCGGCGGAACGTTTTTCTTTATTTGCCCCTTTGCTCCTTCATGAGCACATTCGCTTTTCCTAGCTTCGGAAGGGTTGTATGCTCTTTCTCGATTGGAGTCGTTGTCTCGGATCGATTCGCTCTACTTCGTCACAATGTATGAAAGCTCAATGATTCTATTGAGTACTCTCCGACGAAGTTTCGGTGTCGTGTAGGCCCAGACAGACAACCATTCTTCATGAATAGCTAGTTCTTTAAGATCGCCAGCTCTTGACGGGCCGTACGCGCGAATCATTGATCGGGCTAGGCACAATGATGACCTAGACGATGACAAACCAAAGCGGAAATGGGCAAACGCATAATTGTTAATTGGGCTAGCAAACGGCTGAATATACAGTTAGTCAGACCATCTGCTGGCTTTTCATTAAGCTAAAAGAATAAATTGAAAGCATGCCAAACCTGAACATCTCGATGGATACATCCGTCGCAAATGAAGCAGCGAACAAGTCGGCGGGGTAACAAGCGCTGTGTAAAGGTGATGGCGTCGAGTCGGGTTCCGTTTTGAGGAGACGAGGGTGATGTTGTTTATGCCCATGATAACCGTTGCGAGTGGGATTGTGTCCCCCGGTTAGCTGCGCCAGGGCATGTCCGTTATGGTTCAAGAAATCAATGAGACTTCCGGGTGTGGTAGGAGGACTCTTTGAACCACGCACTACTAAGGGGATGGCATAATCTTGCGCATTACTCGAAGTAGAATCCGCGGTATCCTTACTGTTCAGAAGGAAACAAACAAATAATTATAAGAGAGAGAAAAGCAATAGGCCGTCTACAGGTAGGATCAGTATTCTCAAGAGAACGCCCTTTGTCTGGTTTGAGGGTACCTGGAAAAACTAACGAGTCGACAATATTCTAATTGAAGTCAAACCTAACAAGAAGAATAGTCACCAGGGTGCTTCTTCAAGCTCCCAGGTTCGTATGGTTATTAACTGGAGGAGTGGCGAAAGCTATCATTACAGATCAGATAAAATACCCTTTTATAAGGCTTATTTACTTTTCCACGAAGCAATTATTAGGCACGACTACAATTGGCACAAGCTGCAGCATACAAGAAAACACTATTGTCGCCTTTATGAGCACGTAATCGTCCTAAAACTTTGTGTTTATGATCGCCATCTCCGTCACTGTCATACTTCTGGTTGGCGCTCGATAGTGTATAGTTAATTTATTAATAACGATACATATTGGCAAGCAAACGAAGCCGACCGATCAGTACTTCTGCTTCAGATTGGCAGTTGCTCAAACCCATGTACTACTCACCGTGGGGAATTATGACTAGAAGGGTTGCTGTTATTGTTATTATTCGCTGCGGACAGACTTTCCAAGGAGTCGAAATGAGAACCAATTGACACTCCGTTGTTGATCATAGAGTCATCGCGACCTGAGAGAGGTGAGGCTGAGCGTCGATCTCCGCCACCGCCTCCGGAAAGCCTAAACTTTTTATGAGTCGTGGAGCTGTTTTCCTCGTCCTTGTCGTCTTCGTCATCTTCTATTGATCGGTGCCGCTTGTTGCTTCCTGGCTGTGTTCCTTCAGGGCTCATCGGCGGAGAACTGCCGGGTTCTTGACTCGCATCTGGGTACGGGTACACATATACGAGTGTTATAAGAAAAGATCAAGTGAAAATCAAAGAAAAGCAGAAGTGTATGGCCAACTGAAGCCCACTAGCGAAGTGGCAGACTGCTTGTGGAAGTAAAAATGTGTTCAGTAGAAATACAATTTTCTTGGGATTTTCTTTGGGAATAATCGGTAATCTACAAGGTAATAATAAAAAGAAAAAAACAAGTGTATATAAAAACAACCCTTTAGCTAAGTTGGAAGAATCAATTTTTCGAAGAATCGATTGTGTTTACGACGACAATACGTTTTCATATTGATAATGATAACATTTTTTATATAACAATGACGATACGATACTATAACAGTATTAGATAATAATTAGAGATAACTAAATTTGAATATTTTGCACAGTTTTCTCACTGCTACAAATTCACTCATATTCCTAGAATTACCTGTCAATACATAGGATAGCACAAGAACTGCTAAAGACGCTCGTCAAACATACCATGCATTAAATCGCTATCTTGATCCGCGTTGTTTTGGTTGTCCTGATCCCCCAAGCCATCGCCTGCTTCCTCATTTTCGTCGGCTTCGTCATCCACGCCTAAGTCATCACATCCGGCAGCGATATCGAGCATCTCTTTCTTTACCTCACTACCATCGTCCTTCGAATCGATGATAATCGAGAGTGACTTCTCGATGAGGTTTTGCGTGTTTTCGTGGCCTGAAGAACCGCCATTTTCCCCCTGATGGTTGGCGGTTCCGGATGAATTCCCGCTACTCAAACTGGAGCCACTACCCGCATTGAGGCTCAGCTGAGGTGGAAATTGGTGCTGTTGTAGGGCCGAAATAACCAGTCGCCGTTGGAGCTCTTCGGCAGCGTTCTGTGGTGGGTGGGTTAACAGCTTCGTGACCTCTGTCACTACTGAAGAAAAGTAAACAAGATTAGAGTTATGGAGGATGGGGATTTTGTTTCAAAAATGCCCCGCGACCAGACGATTTGATTCGCCATTAAAGCGGCAGCGGAGAAACCGAGGTGGTGTATCTAGATCTCTTACAAAGAAATACGTGTAATAACACTTGAAACAATTATTAATAGTAGTATGGAATTGTATAAGGCAGACACAAATGACTCCAGCAGATTTTGAAATTGAGTAACATCTGAATTACTTGGTTTAGAATGACGATCTTTTAATATGCGGTACAGTCACGCTCCTTTATTTTTCGCGCACTCATTTCAGCATTCTGGATAGCCATATACCTACCATTTGTGTTGCAATATACGATTTCTCTTTTTGCGGTTACTCGAAGTAAATCGACAGTGGGACATATTTACCCGTCAGTTGCCCTTAGGGCATAGAAAAACCTACAATCATACGGATTTAGATCAGAAAAATAAGCGGGTTAAAGCCGATGCAGAATGTTCCTTTGCTTGATACAAGAAGTAACTAAAAAATAATGATGAAGTTTGGCATCAAGTATCCAGGCTGCGTAATTTTGATTGCCCTACTAACGGTTCATGAATTTCTTGAGGGGCCAGAGATAGCAAACTGCATTCATTATTTCACTTTTGACGAGTATTTGATTCTAGCAGATGCCGCTGACGTCCACTGCAGATTGGGTCATCATCTTGCGTCCGAACCTATTCGACACCGCCACGACATTCGATTGCTCTTTGAAGTCCTATATTCGCCTTATCCTTCTCCAGTTGGCGGTAAAGTTAAAACTATATTTTGTCCTGGCTGGGCGTATGTTTCAAACGGGTTTTTTGTTGATTAAAGTCTTGCAATTTTCTCGTGTAAGACACTATACGCATTTCCAACTGCCCTAGATTCGATTCATAGTGACCTATTTTTTTGCTCAGTTTCCACATTCTAAGTATTTGGGTTATAATTTTGTATCATATTATATGTCAAATGATCAATTTTGACAGACCGAGCCGTTATGCTCCGAACTATGCTTTGGTGAACAGCTTCCTCGATTGCGGCCCTGCACTCTTGTCCTTTAAGCCCCGACATCTCATCATTTGCCCACGGAGTGCAAAACACTCCAATATCGATTTTTGAAACTGTGCTGTGCGTTTGCTGTCTAATGTCTTCACCAATCTTCAATGAATTTTCTTACCGCTGTGGCCTTTAAGGAGCAAAAATTTGACCACTAACCATTGATTTTCAAGAGAAAAACTCTTTCTGAATTCATTCGTCGTGAAGTATATTCAATTGGTTATAGCGCACAAGTTTCTAGAAGACTCGAGTATTTGCAAACCAAATGTCATCGGTTAGTGGCGCGCTATTCTTAAACTTATGCAGTTGCTAACATTTGAAACAGTCTGATACTATAGAATAGCCAATTAAGGCGAACCGAACAGTCTGAAACTGAGCGGACCCTTAGAGACCAGAAAATGTCATGTTGTAGTGTAAGTTGCTTTTTTCAAATCTGATCGATAGATACGCAGATCAAGCGTTGTGGTTGTGGATGCCGTTGGCAAAGTAAGTTTAAATGGTGGACACAAGGTCAACTTACCCAAGGAGCCATGTTGTTGTTGTTGCTGTTGCTGCTGTTGTTGTTGCTGTTGTTGGATAATATGTTCAAGTTCATTGTAGTGGTTCCTGAGGTGTGATTTGAGGCTACTATGCTGCGAGAATCGCGCCGGACAATACTGGCATTCGTAGGGCGTCTCGCCAGTATGGCAGCGCATGTGTGCCTTCAGGTTACCTTTTTGCGTGAAGGTACGACCGCACTCCTCACATTTGAACGGACGCTCACCTAAACGCATTACGTTGACGTTTCCGTCGTTAGTCAAGCCCAGTCTAATCGCCTACTGCGCTTCAAATACCAATTTTCTGACGCATATATATATATATATATATATATATATATATACATGATAATTAGGTAAACAGGCAATGGTTTCGGAAAAAGCCAAACGATCTCAAAATCGTGTCCGAAACTGAGTGTTCTTTATGATTTATTTCGTTTGCTTTTCCAAGCTAATGAGTTAGTTGTGTTTACCAACTCTGCACGTAAATACAGAAGATTATATGTAATTTATCATCTTATTTTAGTTGTAATTATCGTCTATGCCAACAAGAACACACCAGTATGCAGGCGTTTATGCATGATAAGATTGCCTCTTTGTGAGAAGTCCTTGAGGCAGATGTCACACGTAAACGGTTTTTCTCCCGTGTGGGTCCGAAGATGTGCCATTAGATTACTGGCACCCATAATCTGCTTGAAGCATCGCGGACACTCGAGCACCTTACGTTCAGCGGCTTGGCCACTCTGACCGCTTGAAATTGATCCAGAGCTGTTGGACTGTGGCGTTACGGTCGTCGGCGTGCTGGCCTGCGTCGCGCCTCCGCCGCCACTGATGGCCACAGGGTTCGAAGCGACCGAGGGCAAGTTCGGAAGGCTAACAAGACTAGCTAACGCAGGAGGTAACCCAGGCAGTGAAGCGCTTCCGAGGCCGCTTGGTGTAGCTAATGGTGGCGATCGACGTGGAAAAGCGGGTTGCTGCCAGGATAGATCCGCCATCGCACAGTCCTGCGCCTACCCGAACCTAACGTCAATACACTAACGTCGCTGGCGCGCGATGGCGGCTCCTTGGGGCAATCGCGCACCTATTCAGAGATCGGAAGAGATGATCACAACAGACAGAATGATACTGTTAGTAATCGTTTTTGATCCTATTATTATTGTTATAACTATATATAACTTAAAACTAGTAATATATGTATTAGAATGAAGCAATGGGCAACGGTTTTTCTCAAACGAATGTCTGGAAGGTTAGTGCGTACAACAAATACAGAGTTATGGCCTGTAACAGCACAGATAATTGTTCGTTACACACACGCACGTAAAAACATGCTCTGTACATAAGTATGGACTAGGCTAATACCGTATAATATTTTTGTTGAATTTCAAGCAGCTGTTGGGCGTAACAAAGCAGACAGATTAAATAAAGCGTTTCCTCTTATGAGCATAGTAGTTGCAGTCAATAGTAGCAAAAAGGTATAAAACTGTCGCTTTTGATCTGCTTGGACCTTGAAGCTTCAAATGTTCATCGTATAGTTGAAATAATTCAAAGTAGCTACTCTATCGGTTCATTTCTCGGTCCTTTTTTTTAGTACCGTTTACGATCAGATAATAAACAAAGAATTAGACAATGAATATATAATTGTTCCTAGAAGTAGGAACAACAGGCCATATAGTTTCCCCTTAATCAGTTCAATAATGATGGTGATTATTATCGTTGCTATTATTGAAAGAGAGAGAAAAAGTAACACAACTTTACAACTTTTAGTGACAGCCGTACGGTTTGAGCTGGCTGTCGCTAAAATAAGGCTACGACAATGCAAACCACTTGAAGACCTCTAATTCAATGTCATAACAAAACGGTACATAAATGAATGGACTCATCGGACGTAATAAAAACCAAATTTAAGGGCACCTTTCTCTTCCCAATGCCCACTCTTGTCTTATGGTCGTACGTAATAGTTACGCTACGCGTCCATCGTAGTGAGCATCGTCGGATCTCCTGAGAACTGTAGCCTGTACCACGATAAAAGTATGCTACTATGTCGTATTTCAGCATTATGCGTCACCGTGCGGATTGCGACTATTTCGAGGAATTAACGACGAGCCGACAGCCAAGGACCTTGGCAGCGTTTTTGCCCAGGGACCGTACTTATCTAGTTTTGCTGATGCGTATTGATGTTGTTAGATTGTATTACCGCGAAAAAGCATGAAGCTGAAGGGGCGGCTACAGCCAGAATAGACAAGACCAAATGCGGTTCGTCGTAGCTGATAATCTCATATAGAGATGCTGTAAGAGAAGTCTTTACGGTCAGCGTATGGCTTTTTTGTTTAAGTTTGTAACATCCTTCAGTGTCGCGTAGGTTCGGTATAAAGAAGTCGACGTGTTCATAAGGCTCACTATATATATGTATATATAGAAGTGTGCTGGAAGGTCGCAGGCTAACAAAAGTAAAACACTTCACTCCTTTGAGGGCAAAAAAGGTTACTTGGCACTTTTTAACCTAACCGAAAATCTTCGTGATAGGGCAGTGGTAAATTTGGGTTCAAGTTGTGACGTAAGTTCGAATTCGCGCATGGACACACTTCATTTCGTGTTGGCGGGAGCCAGCCGGCTATAGCAACGCATAACAGCTAAAGTATTATATGTAACAAATAAAAAACACGTTTTCAACTTAACCGAAACCTCAGCCTTAACCGAAAAACAGTACCAAACCGTTTCCAACTGTTCTCAATAGACGTCGAATACCTCGTTCCGACATCACTAACGACAAGCATTTTTATCGTTCAAGCACAACGAAATCGACTAAAAGGGACAATTCAACAAGTTGTGGCAAGTTTATACCGCGCAATCTATTATCTCGTGGCCGCAAAAAGAGAGGACAGACGCTCCGAGTAACAGCAGTGGCCTGGGTCAGCATTCATGCTAAAACTGTCTCCTGTACGTCGACCTATATTTATTTGGACGGAATTCGGCACCATGGCGTATCGACATAGCCGTCGTAGTGGTAGCGCACTGCGGGGTAACATTTGCTTTCCTTTCTTTACAGTTCAACCATTGCAGCCAATGATGATCGTACTAATATGGCTGCCGTCAAAGATCACGGAGGTTTAATGCTGTTTCAACGTTCCTTCGTAACCTCTTCTGTCCTTTCCCGTGAAGATCGGGTGATATTGAACGATTTTAGATTCAACATCACTTTCGGCTACACTCTACGATCTAAATACAATAATAACAACAATATCCCTATCGTACACTACATCAATTCGAAATGAGGTTATGCGAGCGCCAAAAAGAAAAAAGACAACAACCGAAAAGTTATCAACCACTTTTACCTATTTACACACACACGTCGACATATACACGCAGATCTAAAGTGTACTGATAAATATACACACGTGTGTACATAGCTGTGAGCCTGTGTGCTTATGCGACCGGGGGTGGAGATGACGTCGTTCGACCGCCACTACGGCAGCTGCCGAAGCCGCAGTTGCCCGAATGTAATATATAATACATATAGAGCTAAATGATGACGGTGTCGAAATGAGACGAAAGAAAAAACCAGACGAAGAATGAACCAACAACGAAAAAACTCACCCATCAAAGTCTGCCGGGTAAGTAAGAACTATTTATATCAGGCATTATACCATACACACACATATAGACACAATCACACATATATATATATATATATATATATATATATATGTGACAACCGTTTGTGGGAATTAGGACCAGTAGCGATAACCCCTGAAGCGGGCGCAATTGCGACACAGCAGCAGTAAGCGCAACGAATTACGGCTATTTGCCGAAGTTGACGCTGTTCGCGCATCACACCACGGTTCGCAAAGGACATGCGTCTCGCGCAGGGATCCTGGACCAGGATCAAAGCCGGAGCCAACCTGAACGCCATGTAATGTTTCGTACCTACCGGCGGTTTTGCTATAATTTTCGCGACCAAGCTAACGTCCTTTGTGTATGACCGACTGAAGTCCGCACTCTTGTCACCGTACTGATACGAGCGAAAGAGACACCGGGTCGCGCTAACGAAAAAAAAAGACGACATCCCCGCTAAGTTTTCAGATCATGAATGGGTCAGCCAATGAAGTAACAGTGGCGACTAACCAGCTCGTTTGTTCGATATATCGATCGATTTTTTTTATTCTTTTAGCTCTTAAAGCTGTTTCTATCTTCTTTTTTCTTTCCTTTCCACTTCTGAGCATCGCGAATGACATCCTTTTCTGCTGATTTTTGCTGGGGATGCCCTAATTTTTCAGATTTCGATTTTATCTGCATTATAGTTATCTGCTGCGTTTTGCTGGCGACACACTACTTTTAAGTTACAGAGCTGGATTTTTGTGATTCGAAGATTAGTTATTTTTGTGTTTGTTCATATTAGAGCAACTTCTCACCGTCATTTGATGAATCCGTCGGTTCTAACACGCATTGAAGACCACTAATTTAATTATTGCAAAGAGTTCGCATTTGTTATTGATAATTTGATGGAAGAAGATCTCTGAAGATGAAGATGCTACTATTGCCTGAGACCGAAAGTATATTGTGCTGATGATATGCAGTGTTAAAATTCATTAACGAATTTTATTTGCACAAGGCCCAATTCACCAATTGCCAGATCAACCCGATTCTTTATACGGAGATTTGTGCCTTTGAGCTTTTAATGCGTGCATTTTAATCGCCTGCGGTTGATTCCTGCCAGATCTATCAGATATTTATTATCTTCTTTTCTAGAAAATTAGTTTTGATAGCATTCATTTTCAAATCTTCTTTTGTAGCTGGCCAAATAATAGCATCTTAGGGGAAAAATTAACAACGTTGAAAGGTAAGGCGCCTCAGTTTGATATAAAGCTAACCAAGCTAGGCGCTTTGCTGATAGCATAAAATATCGTCTATCGGAACAAAGGGATCCTCACTAGGTGATTCTGTCTGTGAGGTAGCTTTGTTTACGAGGTGCGGTCTAGGTAATGAAATGCCAGTTTTGCCATACATCGTTTACGGTTCGCTTTACGCTGGAAAGACCTATTAGCTGTCTGAAGTAATTCTTCAGCAGCAGACATAAAATTCGAATAATTATCGTATAAATAACTACCGTTGTTCAATTCACTGATCAGTTAACGTTTATTGTTATTGCTTGGCAGTTCGTCGGGATAGCGTGGGAGCAATGGCAACCCAAACGAAACTCATGATCTTTTCCGATGAGCATATCGCCCCCGGCTTTGGCACCAGTCGTCATCCAGTACTTCAAATGGTCCTAACAGGCTCCCCATTCATGGACATCGGCACAATGGTGATGTCCTAATCTAACAGCAACAATTTTTCCATCGCTAGAGATGGACTGGTCTAGTTATTAAACCAGTGTTGTTATCGTGATTTTCGCCAGAGTTCTTTGGTAAGCCATACCTAACCATTTACTGAATGTTCCTGATAGTAAATTCGAACTACACCGTCGGACGAGCAGAGCAGTTCCTCCGCTGATCAGCTGATCGAATAATCGACGATGGCGTTGGTAACGTCACACGCATACAAAATAGTTCAGCCTTTCTCTGACGTGCGCATGCTCGATATTCTACATGAAAACACAGAGGCACATACACACACAATAATAGACTGGCTACCCGACAATATTTTGTTACGCGAGGCAGATTTCCTTTTACCTGCTTTTTTGCAGCTCTACTGTGATCCGATTCGATACCAAATCGAAAAGAACTGCTACTGTTGCTCGCCCTTTACTCATCTACATATTATATATATATATCGGGTCCGATCGGTTGTATAGTCGTCGGGATGTCGCGATCGGGCGCAGTGTATCACCGCAACAGTGGTGCAGTCTCGTTTGACTTATGCGACCTTTCTTGCCGAATGACGCCGACAGGGAATCCGCTCAGCTCAGCGCTACGACGTACGAAGCAAATCTCTCTACTGAAATTTTTATTTTATCGACAGCAGCAGTAGCAACTGTTAGCGCTGGCGGCTGGATCATCCCCATCATCGTCACCCCCCTTTGCATCACCATCATCAACGTTTTATTATTATTTTCGATTCCCGTTGTTATATTTTTTCTTTTTA